ACTGAAACAGAGGGGATTATGGGTAATGCTGCAATGATCTGTTTGGTGTTTGGAGCCAAACACTTCAGAGACATGTTCTGTATACCTGTATATCTGAGAGCTCTAATATATTGATGAAAAACTGTATAATTAAAGCCCCCCGTCAGATTTAAAGTACTTCCTATCAAATTATAAGCACTATTAAAAAAGGGGGAAGTTGGTAATTATTTATTTAGAGTTCAAGACTCCTCTGATTTGTTTCATCAGGACTTTGTGGGCGTGTTTGATTGGATTTGATTGACAGCAGCTGACACAACTGTCGTACTATTCTGAACAAAATATTCCTCATTGTTTCACAGAAATGTGTGACATCTCCTTTTCCCCCCCACTTCTAACACAAAGCAAAGCAAACGGCGTGTAGATATTTAAAAACCCACTTTTCATTCAGAAGTGGGCGATGGATGGAGGAGGAAACTGTCCAGCAAGATGAAGGAAGCGAGTTACCGAGGTGTGTTTCCTGCATTCAAAGTGGGCCGGAGTTACAATTATGTTCATGTGTGGTTCAGTGGCTGATTAAGTGACTTGATTATATGTGTCCCCTGGGGAGAGCTGAACACATTTCCCAAGAGCGCAATGTCCCAATGTTAAGTCAGACAGTTCAAACTCAAACGTGCTTTGTACAGGTGACATCATAGCTGGCGAGGAAAACATGCGCATTTAATCTGGAACCTGTTAGTTTTACACAAGCTGCCTTTTCTTTAACGGCCATCGAACATCGAAACATGCTTCCAGCTGAGTTTAAGACGTGCACTGACTTCCACTATTTTTTCCATGGTGCAGGAAAATGGATGTTGAGCAGCATTGCTCTGACTGTATTGTGAAATGTTAGATTCAATGAATTGTAACATTATAGTTGTGCTAGTATTTATATTTTACACGTCTGTACTTTGATCTGTATTAAGTGTGATAGACAGACGTGTTTGTGATTTCTCCTTGCATTTCAAGCTAATTATTAGAGGACATAAAGCCCTCTAATTAATATGCTATTGCTTAGTCACTTCATCAACTGGCACATCACTAAGCTGATGAAAAATTGTGCCTGATAAGAATATGGTATACCAATCAATGACTACATTGTTCTGTTAAGTGTCCAAACCATAAATCTCACACATGTTTCTACAGAGGAGGCTTAAACTCACGTCGATGATGAAGTCAGTGAAGGGTTTCAGGCTGTCCGGCTCCTCTCTGCTCTTGCACAGCTCCCGTCTGTATTTGACCAGGAACAGAGCCAGGGTCTTTTCCTCCTTGGATACCTTCAGCCGGAGGTCCATCCTCTCCACCTCCTCCGGGCGGCGGAAGAGAGCAGCCAGGATGGTCATGGGCTTGGGAGAGTGGTCTTTGGCTTTCTGCCACACTCGCTTAATCTCCTCCACGTTGCCATCTGGAGGCAAACCTGAGGAGCAGCAGACGTGACTTTAAAAAGTGCAACAACACAGAATACTACATTGTGCGTTTGGTAAAAAGCCGAAAAGTCTTAATATCTTTGTAGAAATCGTCAGTGGTGACGTAATTACTTGAGAAGACTTCAACAATCAAGAGGCATTGAATCATGTCTGCCTAGTGATCACTAATACCAGAGTTCACATAAGTCAAGGGGCACTGAATCCACTCCATCTCAGGGAAGAACATGTCATAGTTCCTCCTTTAGAATCAGCTCCAATGATCAGATTCTTGACATTACTGATCCCATTTACTGATGCATGCACTTTGCAAACAATGGCCAAATCCCAATAACCCTTAGGCCCCAGCCACACGAGGACGATAACGGTCGTATCCGCTACAGTTCTCTATCAGACGGTTCGGCCACACGAGGCCGACATGGAA